CTTGGTACGAAAGATACAGTCATGCCAATTTGGAAAATACAGTCTGCCACAATGAGTCAAATCTTAAAAATTACTGTCATTATTTTATAAGCTGTGTGGTTTTCCAGCAGCAGAAGTAGGAAAAGAATCAATGGTCTGGGGGTATTTGTAAGTTCCATACCATGGGCCTCCCCCTGGAGACCAGTGAAAGTTGACTGTATGTCCACTCTTTATGACTGGATCTTTGCTCCTTCTGTATTCCTATGATATAGAAAGAGTGGTGTTAGTAAACAGCTAATACTTTACCCATTGACTGCCAGTCATTTCTTAACTACTCCATGATAATGATAAGAAAGATACTAGCAAAGTCTGCTCAAGTAGATATCACCCAGAAAACCCAGTTCAATGTGCAGCTGAATCACAAAAAATGAAATGCTGGAAAGCCTTGACCAAAACAATTCAGTAATAAAGACAGTGTTGACTTTCATTTTCTTTTTTAATCCCTAACAAAATATTTGAGGTCTTGTGTATGTATATATGGGTTGGTATTGTTTAAGTCCTTATTTATAACTGAACTAATATTTAAATTACATAATCAAGAAAATGTCCATAAGTCAAAAAAATTTTGCCTACATATCTATCTAAATGGAAATACCCTCTATTCCTTAAAAAGTAGTCCTTAGAAACAGAGCCTTACGTACAGAGGAACAATTTCAAAATGTAACTTAAAGAAACACTGAGATTTGTTTTTTAATCTGAAAATAAAGTTAGGGGTGTGAAAGTAGCATAGAATAAAGGAAGCATACTGGCAAAGATCTTGAGAGGGTCATCTTATTGTAGTATGTTCATCTAAGCAGAATTCCCAAATGAAAACAGGCTACAAAAAAATATCTTCTAGTTTACAAAAAAAATATCTATTCAGTGTTTATGGGTGCACTATTCTTCAAATTATCTCAGAATATAAACGCTCTTAATTTTCCCTCAAATGGAAGCATACTCCAGCTGGCATATGTCATGGCTTTGTGTGGGGTTTCAAGGAAGAATGGCAAAACTCTCCCATCTGTACATGGATTGAAGACACATTATTTGAAGTCATTTTCTCTCATTTCCCCTGTATCATAATCTCTTCTCCATGCCAGTAAAATGCCTGGATCTCTCATCCTCCAAATGGTGTCTAATTTAAACCTGATAGTTGTGGGATAAATTTGGGTATAAATAGCCACTGTATGACAAAGTCTCATTGTTATGCAAGATATAAGGAGGTATGAGATATGGAAGATATGGAGGGTATAAGAAAAGCATGAATTTAGTCATCATGGTAAGCAATAGTACATTGTGTTTTTTATTAGCAGTGCCATTTTTAGTGTTATTTCTAACATCTGCAAATATTCATTTTTTCTAACAGATGTCACCTTGTATTATTTCTAAAATATTGTCAGTGTCAGAAACCTTCAAAAGGGGGTGCCTGGGTGGCTCAGTCGTTAAGCGTCTGCCAAATCTTAATCAATTTAAATCGATTCAAGCCATACAAAGTAGGTTCTTTCATCCTAATGGAATAAAATCAGAAATGAATAGGGGCACCTGGGTGGTTCAGTCGTTAAGCGTCTGCCTTCGGCTCAGGTCATGATCCCAGGGTCCTGGGATCGAGGCCCACATTGGGCTCCCTGCTCAGTGGGAAGCCTGCTTTTCCCTCTCCCACTCCCCCTGCTTGTGTTCCTGTTCTCACTCTCTCTCTCTCAAATAAATAAATAAATTCTTAAAAAAAAAAACAACCTTCAAAAGTATTGCTTATTCTGGGGCTTATGTGTTAAATTTTACTTACTAAATTGAAGACTATTTAAGGATTCTTTTTTAATATAAAATTTGTAAATTTGAATACTAATTCCTATTTAGAATTAATACTCAAGAATATAAATATTTTCAGTGTGGGTTTTCTTCTTGGCTATACATAAATCTGGAGCCCCATTCCCAGAACAGGAAAGAAGTGATGCAGCTGTCAGAACTCCATGTCCCTCATCCCTGTGGCAGCCAAGGTAAATGACAGTGCTGTTCTTATTCTCCCCGTCCCACACCTCGCCTCACCCCCACCTCCACCTGCAAATACCTTTCACATGCACATTTCTTTAAATGCTACTATCCCTGGTATTCTATTCCTACCAGATTCTTCCCCTTTCTTCCTCTGGAGCCACTGAGGAAAAAATGGAAGATTTGATGAGGTGGGTACTGTGGTAGATAGCTGTGGGAGTCCCCTTCCAGAGTTGTGTCCTCACTACCTGCTGGACCTCACATGGCGATGATGTGTCACATGGCTGTGTGAAGCAGCCCACAGGGAATCTCAGAGTTGTGCAGTTTTAGAATTGGAAGAAACCATGGAAATCACGGAATCCAATGTTTTTGCAGTGGGGCTAATTGAGAACAGTAGTAATTATATTAACTAACACTTGTTGAGTACTGACTTTAGTTATAGGAGCCCAATAATTCTATGCGGTAGGTATTCTTTTTGTCAGTGTTTACAGAGGATACTGTCATGCAGAAAAAATAATACCTTGCTCACGACCACACAAATCTCAACTGGAGCTGCGATTTAAGTGCTTACTAGTGTTTACTCTCCCGATCTCTTTTGTTGCAGCTTACCAACATCCAAGAACGCTGATCCTGAGAAATCCCATCATTTTCCATGTCATAATCTCTGCCACTTACTATGTCACACTGGCAAACTTACTTGACTTTTCCATTTCAACTAACTCATAGGCTCGTTGAGTGTAGGAACTCAGGACATAGAAAACACTCAGTGTAACAATAAATATGAGGTTTTATAATTATTAGTACTAGCCATAGCAGCATTGTTAGTTTTAAATCAAAACTTAACTGATACTTATATACTGATACTTAAATCAAAACTTAACTGATACTTGGTAAATAACTTGTAGGCTTGAACAGCATATTTTTAGTGTAAATTTACAGTCGAGGCACAGTGTGACACAGAAATATCAATTTTTATTTATACTTTCAAGGATACAGAAAATCGACAACTTTGATGAAGTAGAGAGTCATCTGAGACTTCATGGGTGGTCCCTGGTCCCTTTTTCCCACATTTGACATGGAATCTCTTTCCCTAAATAACAGTTGAGGTTTCTGATGAAATTGTAAGCCACCACAAGGAGTGTTTACGTTATGAAACATACCCACTTCATGCCCTTCAAAACTATAAACTTATAGATTACTGGTTTATTACAAATAATCTTCTAGCCAGGGACATCCTGCTAAGGGCATTCTATAGATAAGGTCTCTTCTACCAGGCAAAAATCATTATTTATCAGAGGTCCAGTTGAGGATATTAGGCAGTTACGATCTTTGTTCCTGTCCCACCTGTAAAGAGGGCTCCTCCACAAGGGGAATGAATTGGTTGCAAACCAGCTATTTTAACTCTTTCCTCCTTAGTTTCATTAAAAATTGTTGAAAGTAACTACACTAGACCCTGTAGTTTGGTCTGTGTTTTACGAACACCTTTATAGCACAGCTCATAATTATCAATGTCTCATCCTCTGGTATAATTCCAAGACTATATTGTTCCTAATTGATTTGGCTTTCAACATATAGCCTTCCTCGACTATTTAAAACCCACAAAGTCACTTATGTTATTTACTAGTAGTTGCCATTTTAACTATCTTCATATGTAAGAATACTATTACTCTAACTTTTCTAGTAGTTACAGGTGCAGTGTATAGACATAGATAAAGCATTTTTAAAAGTATGTCTACCTAAATGGATAAACCTTTTAGAATAGGTTGTATCCACTAGGTTGTGCTCTCATTGCAATACATTGTAATTATTTCCTTAATTGCTTGTTTTTCTTAGACATAAGTATCCAAATTGTGTCTGTTTTGCTTATCTATGCAGAATCTGGCATAATTCCTGACACAAATATGATTGAACATCCTCTCAAGCAACAGTTATTGAAAAAATTAGTTATATTTGTTTTTTATTGTTATCAACTAGTTTCTACAAACCTCAAGACTATCTGTAGGAATGTACAGTGCAGCAAATTAATTACAGAGAGGAGAAGATATCATAATGCCTAAAATTTGCTGCATAGTTTTCTCTCCAGTCCAACTTATACTTGATATCCAATCCCAAATGAAACTGAGTTATCAATCAAATATAAAGTTTGTAACAAGAAATTTGCTGTTTTAAATGAAAATAGAACCTGCTAGTGTGTTCTCTCCAATTAGCAAGAGGAGTCCCTCTTTGACTTCCCTTCCCTAAGTTTGTTTCTGTTTACCAATATATATATATATATATATTGGTAAATATATATATATTTACCAAATATTTGTTTCTGTTTACCAATATATATATATATATATTTCTTTTGTCAAGATACCAGTTTTTAAATTACTCTCTATGTGTACAAATACCATGAGGCTTAGAAACAGGTAATTTATGGTGGTAATGTAGTTGTATTGGAAGAGGGGCAGGAGAGTGTGATTTCTTTATGTTTTTATTGATGGGAAAGTTTCATTTTGAATTTGAATATTTTCCATAATGAAAAAGTGGTTTTCCATAGGGAAGGCTGTGTGTAACATTGATTCTGGGATCTTGACAGCATAACTGTGGAAAGATGCGAATTTTCCTAAGTGATTGTAGGTTTTGGAATTTAGCATCATGGTTTAGATCCTTACATGTTTTGTTCCTTTCCATTAATTATCCACGACATTGTCATGGATTAAAAATCAAAGAGACTGGGCGCCTGGGTGGCTCAGTTGGTTAAGCGACTGCTTTCGGCTCAGGTCATGATCCTGGAGTCCCTGGATCGAGTCCCGCATCGGGCTCCCTGCTCGGCAGGGAGCCTGTTTCTCCCTCTGACCCTCCCCCCTCTCATGTGCTCTTTCTCTCTCATTCTGTCTCAAATAAATAAATAAAAATCTTAAAAAAAAAAGAGACTGTTTTTAGTTTTGAGAAACAGGTAACATTGTTCTTACTGAAGTACAGCATCATCAAAGCCATTAAATAATAAATGATTTACCACAGTAATTGACTGCTGTGTTTTGAGCAGGTGCAATTTTTATTTTATTGCAAGACAGACAATCTTATATACAATGCATAATTATCACCTTCCAAAAGTACAAGATATAAGTATATACAATAAAGAATATATGAGTATACTTTTGTTTCAGAGAAGAAAACTGCCTCAGGGCAAACAGGTTTATGTCCTTTTGGGATGGGATTTTCATATTTATCCTGAATCTTCCAAACAGTTCTTATTTAGAAAATAAATCTCATTGGATGGACCTACAGGCTTGTCATAGTTTTTTCCTTAAAAAGGTCTAATTTAAAGCCAGCCAATAAGGAATACCAATAAAATGTATTCCTCTTACTCTAGTTATTCATCTTATTACATCCCAATACTAGACAAAACATCTATAAATTGTCCAATAATGGTTCTACAGATTTAAGAACTTGTATTTCTCAGTAATACATCATAGAATGGAACCACTTTCTTAAGATTTATGTAAATATTCCTTGATTTTTTCAAAACTAACTTTCTAAACTGTGTTTCTTTTGTAGCATTATGCTTTGAGTTTTGACTTAAGCTCTTTGCATAGGGGATGACTTTAGATTCTTAAGAGTATTTCTGAGACACTAATGCCAGTCTCCTCCCAGTTAGAATTATGGGTTTTCACCCTCATTGCTGCCTCCTGCATGGCTGTTTCATTTCTCTGTATCTTTTTATGATCCCTCACTAGATCTTATCTTCCAGAAGTCACCAGGGTGGGAGGATGGAATATATGTAGAGTTGATCTTGAGGTTCAATACACACAGTTCTGGTCTCAAAGAGACACAGCAAACTGTGTGCCCTCCTTGCTGTGATGAGAGAGGAGGAATATCAAGACATGGGACACAAACATACATCATCTCATACACACATGTATGCATGTGCACACACAATCACACACATGTAAACACATTTACTCACACATGCATGCACACACATATACTCATGCAAACTAACATGCACAAACATGTATACTCACACGTGCATACATAAACAATCACACACATATATTCACACACACACACGCAGGCATGCACACCCACAATTCACACACAGAAAGACATATATTCACACTTTCACATGTGCATGCCCGCATGAGCACACACACATGCACACACAGACACACACTCACTTACTCGCACATGCATGCACACGTGTGTACACATACATACTTTTGACAAATGAATACTTTTGTGTAAGTGGTATTTTCTCTAACATATATGACTCACTTTTTCATTCCTAAAAGCAGTGCCCTAAAATGACAAAGCCACTCCCTCTTCCTCCAGTTTGGGGAAATTGGTGTCCACAATAATAGAGAACTTAGAATATCTCTCATGGGCACTCAGCTATTTCTCTCTCTCCATGGGCTGCAAACTTAGATAAAAAGACATGCAGGATAATCTGGCTAAAGTTCAGACTCCAATAATGGCAACAGATGCCATAAGGGTACATGGGGTGCTAAGTGAAAGAGAACCCATTACTATAATTACTATAATTTTATTCTGTAATTGTATATTTGTGCACTGCATAAGAATCCTTCAAGAAAATCTCCTGGGTCTTACTGTTCCATAAAGAGATTTGTATATTTCTCACATCAGTAGGGCTTGTTCCTGAAGTTACTCTCTGTATAAATATCCCTTCTATATGGTAGCCAAGATTTTTAACCAAGGGATGAATGCCAACCAATATTTAAGCTATTCCTATTTACATTTAGTTATAAGAATACAAGGACACCAAAGAAAATCACTGAAATTTTAGAAATGCTCAAAAGAGCACTTTGGGTTCATTCAGAAGAACTTTGCCTTTCTGCCTTAAGTCATGTTAGATGCCATGAAAATCTGGAATGTAGACAAACATCATCATAGTAAAATTCTGAAGCCACATATAAAGCTTTCAATGCAAGGTTTGTTTCCAAAAGGAACGAGTATATACACAAGACAGAAAGTACACAGTGAACAGAAATTAGAGATGTAATGATGTCTATGAGCATGTAGGTCTATAAATTTGATTTTCCCATTAAATTCCAGGGGGTGCTGCCTTGATAACATATAGGCTTAAAGAAGAGAAGAGACAGGGGTTATTTCTAAATTATCCCTTTCTTCTGCCAGGCAAATTACAGAAAAAGCCATTACCTCTGAAATCATAAGTTTCAGAGGAAAGATGAGGGAATTAATATATCATCTGGAAGTTTTAGCAAAATTATCCTAAATGTGCTACTCGTGGCATGATCCTCAGCTAGTATGCTCTTCACAGAACACAGCGCAAGGTATGTCCAAGCACCACGGGTGACATAATGTCCTTGTTCAGCCCACAATTAGGAACATTTCTACTTCCTGCCAAAAGCCACAAAATCCTAGCCCAAGATTAACATGAGCAAAACGCCCTCCCTCCACAGATAGAAAATTTGGTAACAGCTATATGTTCATGAAGAGATGCTGCATATAAATTAGATTCTGCCAAGTCAATAACCTGGGAATGAGTGAATATTTTGTGGTTGTTTAACACATGATTTAAGAGCACCACTGAAGGCCTAAATGGTGCTCAGGGGTCTGAAAGAGACTGCGTCTGACTGATTCCCAGAAAGAAATTCATGTTGCCACAAAATGTCTCCGCATCAACCGTCAATAACTCAGGCAATATTGTTAGTGTGTCCTCGGGAAAGTGCCTGACTGGAAGGCAAGCCCGGTCCTTATTTACACGTATACTATTATTTACAGATGAAATATATATACTTTCAGTGATATTTAAACCACTTTATATTTCTGACATCAGGACATGATTTATCATGAAATTATTTATCTGAATAGCATGCTGTGAAACAAACTGTGTCTTTTAAGAAATTAAACTATGTTGGAAATCACCTTTGGCATGTTTAAGTAACTTCATAAATATCAAGATAATTTCCTATTATACATGAACATCAGATACCTCAGGTGTGGGTCCAAGCCATACTTAAGTCAGAATCGTCACTATACGGCCACAGGAAATGTGTATCCATGTAGCATAAAGTGAGCTGGGCACATGCCCTGGAAATGGTTCTTGTTTTTATTCAGATTGTTGCTGTCAATGTAAAGCATCTGGATTGGACACCTACTATCCTCTGAAACCAAGAATTTTTCCTTGTCCTTTTTTTTAAACAGAGATTTTGGAACCACATTGCATGGAAAGGCCACAGCAGATGGGTCCTGGACTAAATCTAGGTAACCAGAAGAAAAAGGCTTATTTCTTTGTTCATCAAAGGAACTGGGAGTCAGCCTTGCTTCCCTGCCTTATAAAGGGGCTGTATTTGCTTACTTGAATCTTTTATACTCCATCCCTACAGCCTCGAGGCTTCCACTGACCTGGGTGGCTAACGCAGCCTGCATCTTACAATTTCAGACCATGAGATTTCTAGAAGTTTGTTAAAAATTCTACCTTCCATCTCAGACTTCAGTACTAATCTGAGTTAATCCGAGATCATTAAACTCTTCTCTTCCCGAAGAACTATAAGAAGACATCTCCATGACTAGTCATACTGGTTTATTTATCCCATCAACATCCCTCCCATAAGCAGGATCCTGAACTGTATTTCTGACCCTACTAGTACTCTGTCGCTCCATCCTCATCTTAATTGGAAAGCAGAAGTCTCTGAAACACCGCTTGAAGTTTTCATCAAGAAAGGCGTAGAGAATGGGGTTCAGGCTGCTGTTGGTGTAACCCAAAGCAATGCAGAAGTAATAGCTGGAAAGGGCAGCTGTGCTGTGAGAGGCATTCCCCAGAGCCTCCACAAGGATGAAAATGTGAATGGGGGTCCAACAGATGATAAAGACTGCCACCACTACCAGGACCAGCCTGGTGATCCGACGGAGGTTGCGATCTTTCTCTCGGGAGCCAGAAAGGAGTCGGACACTCTTCAAGCGCAGGATCATCAGAGTGTAGCAGATGATGATGATGAGGACAGGGATCACAAAGGCAAAGACGAAGACACAGATCTTCATGAAGAGGTCCCACCAGGAGTAATCATCATCTGGGAACTGCAAGGAGCACTCTATGACATCCACGTCTGGACAAGGTGAACAAAACAAACAAAAGCACAAAAAGAAAATATTTTCTTATTACTGTGGCTGCAGTATTCTAAAAGTGAGTTTTTTGGGTACAAAGGTCCAATTATGGTGAGATGATATTACCTGAAGTAGATCACCAAATTAGGAATGACTTCTATGTATATTAACCATCCTATCTGTGCTTAGATCAATGAAGCCAGAAAGTCACCATTTATTGGTAACATACGCAATTCTATGAAATACATATTACTAGCTAGCAATATGAATTATGTAGTTGTGGAAACCAGTTTAATGTGGATGACTTTTAGAAGAGCTAAATTGGTAATATAGCATAAGCCCTTACTTGCATTTCCATTCATTAACAATTCTCCCAGACCTAAGGCTCTGACAATAAAAGCTAGTATCTATTTGTAATAAATGACTAAATATTCCAAATCTAGCAAAAGCCAACTTGTCTGAAAACATCAAGTGATTTACAAGAAAGCATTAGGTGGGTCAGTAAAAATTTATACAAAGTGTGTTTAAATATGACCCTGGAGTTGTGACTTAATAGAATCAATTGATTAAGGGTGTTGTTGAAACATGAGTAAACTTTTGGAGAAGGAAGAGAAGGAGGAAGAAAAGAAAAAAAAAAACAGAACAAGGGAAGGTAGAAAAAGGAGGAAGAAAATCATCCTTATTAGCACCATCATCAAGGAAATTCATAAGTGAGACACATTTTTCATTTTTACCAACACTGACTATGTAACAGATAAAATAAATATTTTATTTGATTACTTGGAAAATTATATATTTGCCCTGCTTCTCTTTGCTGGATAGTATTCTCTTTGGAGTGACCTTCATAGTGGAAAGAGCAGAGACCAGAAAGAACAGAGACCCAATATAAGCACTTTTTTGATACTTTCCTTGGGGGCTCCTTTCCTCCCCAAACATCAACCAGTCCGCATTTTTTCCTCTTCCCTCTGAGAGGTCATTGAGCTCAGAGCAGGCAAAACTCTTTGTCCTAATCTGATCTTTCCTTACCAATAAAGTAATCATGAGCAATAATAAGAGCATAATTTTTATTATGATATTTTCTTCTGATATTGGGAAAATCTGCTTCAAAAATAGGACGAGTATTTTGTAGTGAAACAGCTCTATTTATATTTTCTAAAATATTTTTATGTGATCTTAATCAAATATCTCTTAGTAAAAACAAAATGTACCATCTTAGAATTTCAATTAGACATACTTACAATACAAAGAATATAATCATTTTGCCCAATTAATAAAGATGACTATCTTAGAAACCTATCTTTTATCAACTAGATACCGGATCAAAACTTTCATTAGTAAATGCAAACTTCCAGAATAACTCAGAATTTTTTTTAAAGATTTTTATTTATTTATTGAGAGAGATAGTGATAGAGAGAGAGCATGAGAGGGGGAGAGTCAGAGGGAGAAGCAGACTCCCCGCCGAGCAGGGAGCCCGATGCGGGACTCGACCCCGGGACTCCAGGATCATGACCTGAGCCGAAGGCAGTCGCTTAAACAACTGAGCCACCCAGGTGCCCCAAGAATTTTTGATTCTCTAAAAAAAATCATTGTTTAAAGTGCTATTACTATGAAGAGTATTAGAAACAAGCATCTTTTTAAATTTGTGCTTTTAGTGGGTTTTTTGTTTTTGTTTTTGTTTTGTTTTGTTTTTTTAAAGATTTTATTTATTCATTTGATAGAGAGAGACACAGTGAGAGAGGGAACACAAGCAGGGGGAGTGGGAGAGGGAGAAGCCCCCCGATGTGGGGCTCGATCCCAGGACCCTGGGATCATGACCTGAGCCGAAGGCAGATGCTTAATGGCGGAACCACCCAGGTGCCCCTGTGCTTTTAGTGTTTATGGGAATATTAACAGTTAAAATCATTTTTTTAAATCATCAACATTAATCATTGAAAAAAGTATTAACTTCTGACAGGTGCACATTGCGAAAAATCTGAATTTTAAAAATATACTAGTCTGGATTTGATTTGTCTATTGAATCTAGTCTCCTTGAAGGTAGGGAACACGTTTAGTTTTGTTTTGTCCTTTCCATGCTTAGCTTTTGTGTATTCCAACATTGTCTCTTTCTTGAGGTTGGCCTCAGCTTAAATGTCACACTATAGACATTTATACAGAGGCTGATCCATTTAAATAGTTCTCTCCCTTGCAACTTATATTCTCTCTATATATTATACTCAACTTATTTTTTAATCATTATATAATGACAGAAGCTAGACAGAAGCTCTTCTGTAATAATGTTACCTTTCTTGGCATTTTTCTCTCCATCCAGAATGCAAACTACCTTAGGGTGGATAACCAGCCTGCTTTATTCAATATATAATCCCTGCCACATAGGGTGGCAAGAACATAAGATGCTTAAGGAATACAAACCGTTAAATAAGAACATAAGGTGTTTAAGGAGTACAAATTGTTAAATAAGTGAATAAATGAATACCACATGGAAACCCTTGAAAATGGGGACTGATTACAGTAGTTATTATGGAAGAGCAATCTGCTGAGATAAGTAAGGCAACATAAGAGCTGATGTTTAATCAGCTTCCTCTTGAACAAATTGTCTTGCATGTTGTAAGAGCTCAATAAATATTTGCTGAATGGGTGAAATAATCAACTACAGCTACTTTTACAAGACTTTGGAAAACATTCAGTGATAGGGTTAGAAATATCCTCCAGAAATATCAGTGAAGCTAAGCTTATACCAACAAATAGAAAGGAGAGTACTGAGGCAATCATCAAGGAAATTCAAGTCCACATGCACCATTTTTATTAAATGTTCTTTTTCAGGAAAAAGAATGCATCTTTAACTTTAATGACACACATAGGTTGAAAGTGAAGGATAGAAAAAGATATTCCTTGCAAATGGAAACCAAAAGAGAGCAGAAGTAGCTGTCCTTACATCAGACAAAACTGGCTTCAACTTAGAAACTGTCATAAGAGACAAACAAAGTCATTATATAATGATAAAAGGACCAAGTCATCTAAAGGATGTAACAATTTTAAGTATATATATGCACCCAACATTGGAACAGCTAAATATATAAAGCGTATATTAACAGAACTGAAGGGAGACAGAAATAGCAATAATAGGGCACGTCTATATCCCACTTTCAACAATGGATAAATCATCCAGATATAAAATCAATTAGGAAACAGCAGACTTGAGCAACACTATAAATTAAATGGGGGGGGGATGGCGCCTGAGTGGCTCAGTAGATTAAGCATCTGACTCTTGGTTTGGCTCAGGTCATGATCACAAGGGTCATGAAATTGAGGCCTGTGTGAGTCTCTGCACTCAGTGTGGAGTCTGTTTGAGAGTCTTTTCTCCTCCCTCTCCTTCCCTTTCTGCTCCTCCCTACCTAAATAAATAAATAAATAAATAAATAAATAAATAAATAAATAAAATCTTTAAAAAAATAAAATGGACTTCACAGAGGGCGCCTGTGTGGCTCAGTCATTAAGCATCTGCCTTCGGCTCAGGTCATGATCCCAGGGTCCTGGGATCGAGTCCCACATTGGGCTCCCTGCTTGGCGGGAAGCCTGCTTCTCCCTCTCCCACTCCCCCTGCTTGTGTTCCTGCTCTCACTATCTCTCTCTCTGTCAAATAAATAAATAAAATCTTTTAAAAAAATGGACTTCACAGATATATACAAAACATTTCATTAAAGAGAAACAGAATGCACATTATTCTCAATTGCACATGAAATATTCTCCAGTATAGAACATATGTTATGCCACAAGACAAGACTTAACACATTTAAGAAGATCGAAATCATGTCAAGTATCTTTTCTTACCACATAAAAATAGGCATTAAACAGGAGGAAAATTGGAAAATTCACAAATCTGTAGAAATTAAATAATATACTCCTGAGCAACCAGTTGGTCAAAGAAGAAATGAAAGGAAAATTTAAAAATGCTTGAGATGAATAAAAATAGAAATAAAATATACCAAAATTATGGGATGTAGCAAAAGCTGTTATTGGAGGGAAGTTTATAGTGATAACCACCTACATTAAGAAAAAAGAAAGCTCTCAAATAAATAACCTAACTTTACAGATTAAGGAACTAGAAAAAGAAGAACAAACAAACCCCAAAGTTAGTAGAAGGAAGGAAATAAAGAACAGAGCAGAAATAAATGAAATAGAGCCGAGATGCCCTTTAATAGACGAATGGTTAAAGAAGATGTGGTCCATATATATACAATGGAATATTACTCAGCCACCAGAAAGGATGAATACCCAACTTTTATATCAACATGGATGGGACTGGTGGAGATTATGCTAAGTGAAATAAGTCAAGCAGAGAAAGTCAATTATCATATGGTTTCACTTATTTGTGGAACATAAGGCATAACATGGAGGACATTAGGAGAAGGAAGGGAAAAATAAAGGGGGGGAATCGGAGGGGGAGATGAGCCATAAGAGACTATGGACTCTGAGAAACAAACTGAGGGTATTAGAGGGGTGAGGGGTGGGGAGATGGGTTGGCCCAATGATGGGTATTAGGAGGGCACGTATTGCATGGAGAATGGGTGTTATACAAACACAATGAATCATGGAACACTACATCAAAAACTAATGATGCAGTTTTGATTTGAATTTCCCTAATGGCTAATGATGATGAACATTTTTTCATGTGTCCGTTAGCCATTTGTATGTCTTCTTCAGAGAAGTGTCTTTTCATCTCTTCTGCCCACTTTTTGACTTGATTATTTGTTTTTTGGGTGTTGAGTTTGAGAAGTTCTTTATAGATCTTGGATACCAGCCCTTTATCTGTAGTGTCATTTGCAAATATCTTCTGCCATTCTGTGGGTTGCCTCTTTGTTTTGTTGACTGTTTCCTTTGCTGTGCAGAAGCTGTTTATCTTGATGAAGTCCCAAAAGTTCATTTTTGCTTTTGTTTCACTAGCTTTTGGAGATGTATCTTGAAAGAAGTTGCTGTGGGCAATGTCCAAGAGGTTACTGCCTAT